TGAAGAGAATTCAATTATATGGATATACCACAATCCATTTTTCATTTCATTCATAAATGGATAGACATTACGTTGTTTACTACTTGGGGTAGGTAAATGAGTAATATACTCTGAAAATTTATATTCAAGTATTTTTTGCATGCATATTGGGTCATTTGATAACTCTGTTTAACATTTAGAGGGAACATTGAATTGTTTTTGAAAGTGACTGCAAGAATTTACTGGCCATTATGTTTGAGACTATTTGTCCTCAGGTATTAGCTGAACAAAAGTTGCTTGTGAAGTTCCCATGGTTGATGCTTTCCATACGTAAGCTTTTTACATAATAGATTCACTTGAAAAAAAAATATATGTGTATCAGCACCAGGCACTGGTGGCTTACACCTGTAATCCTAGTTACCTTGGAAGCTGAGATCTGAGGTTTGTGTTTTGAAGCCATTCTGGGTAGGAAAGTCCATGAGACTCTTATCACCAAATTAACTGGAAGTGGCTTTGTGGCTCAAGTGGTAGAGCATAAGCCATGAGCACAAAAGGTCAGGGACAGCACCCAGGCCCTGAGTTCAAGCACCACAACTGACATATATATCAAATATATATGTATACATACATATATGTATAAAATTACATATATGTATAAAGTACACATGTATGCATGTGTGTATATATACACATACATAAAAATACACATATACATACATATATACATATATATGCTATATATACGTAAATATGTCTTTTTACTCAAGGACGGTGTTGCTGTAAAACAAGGAGTAAAATTGGACAAACATGAAATGAATGAATCTTAACTATGTGTTAAAATTTACTGAGGTTGAGATCAAGATTTGGAGAACCCTGATACTTAGAATATAAGAGTTAATCTCCATAATTTTGCCTGTGTTTCTAAGAAGAAGAAAAAACTAATTTTTACTCTAACTTTGAGTTATGTATCATAGGTTTTACAGAGTTGCTTGATGCTTGGGAATTCAAATTTTCCCATGGTCTTTTAACCTGAATTTCTAGTTTGTATCTTAATCTCTTTTTCAGCTGCATGAAGTTTTGCTGTTTTTTCAAGTGGCTTGGCAGCTTTCTTTCTGGCTGTTTCACTCTTTTCTCTATGAAGTAGACAAATAAAAAGAAAATAAGGCTTGGCAATGGTGTCTTCATATAGTGTCTAGCATAATATCCTAAATGCAGAAAACAGTTTTCCACATTCACTCTGTCTAGCTATTGGCCTTTGGAAATGGAAAGGCTAGTAGCGAATGACTTGTTATTCTTACCTTGTTCATCACCTCTTTAGAAACTCTGGGGCATTACAGCTGAAGTGATTATAAACATCCTGTTTCTCAGGGTATCACATTAGCTAGGATCCATAAAGGAATCCATAAATTGTGTAACATGCTTCCTCCTAGAAGAAATAATCAGGACTTTCTATTTAAATCACCTGAGTAAACCACACTTGTGTGAAAAGAAAGCAAAAAGTTTCAAGAGATGGAAATGATGTTTACACCAATAGAGTTTTATATATATATATATATATATATATATATATATATATATATATATATATTTTCTTCCCAACAATTTCCTGTGCTGTTCCTGTCATGGATTCAAGAAATGTTTTCCAGGAAACTCTTGTTTCAGGAACTGCTCCAGAAATAATGGAACAGTAGAGAAGAGAAGAATAAAAATTCTTGCCTCCTTATAGAGTTTGCCTTCCATGGTAGCAAGACAGATGAAACAGGCTGTCAGATGTTACATAGAATGGCTGAACATAAGACATTCAGGCAGGAGAGGAGAAAACACAAACAACAAGGATTTATAAACGTGAGTAGGGAGATACAATTTTATCCAACGTGGTAAGAAGCCACCTTTTCTGAGATGTTGATACAGGCTTGCGGGTATCAAGGGGATAAGCAACTGGTTCTCTGGGAAGAATTTGGTAGAGAAGGAGCAACCGAAGTGCCTATATGATATAAATGTACTTGGAGTGCTTGAGAAAATCAACAATACCAATGTTGGTACGTGGTTCTTACAGAGCAAAAAGGAAGGGAGGGCAAGGAGAAACTTAAGCAGGTGAATACCTGAGAACCAGATCATGCACAGCTATTGGCGAAGATTAGGACATTAGTTTTAGAAAATGATTTATAGATAAAGAATTCATATAATAGGGAAACCATTATTTTTTATTATACTAATGCATAGAACCAAGGGACTTTTAATATATGCTTAATGTTGGAAATCATAAAACTATCCGTCTCTGAACACTTTTTTTAATTTTTTGGCCAGTACTGGGCTTGAACTGTAGGCCTGGGCTCTGTCCCTGAGGTTTTGCTCAAGGCTAGTGCTCTACCACTTTGGCCACAGCACCCCTTCCAGCTTTTTCTGAGCAGTTTTTTTGGAGGTAAGAGTCTCATGAAGTTTCCTGCCTGGGCTGGCTTCCAACCTTGATCCTCTGATCTCAGCCCTCTGAGTAGCTAGGGTTATAGTCATGAGCCACCAGTTTCCGGCCCCTGAATATTTTTGTCATGTAACACTGTACCTTCTAATTTTCCCCTCCCACAACCCCTAAAACGTTCTAATATACTTTTTGTCTGCCTTGACTTTCTTCTTTTATTTTTTAAAATATTTTTATTATCTTCAAGTAGTGTATAAAGAGTTATCATTCAACAAAGCAATTTATAAACACAGTATGTCTTGATCAATGACTTTCTTAATGGGGAATTTCTTGTAAAGATAATTATATAATATGCAGTGTTTTGTTGATTAGGTTTTCCTCATTTAGCATGATGCTTTTCCAGTTCATTTATATTGTAACGTGTGTCAGTATTTTATTTCCTTATATGGGGCTGAATAATATTTTAAAGTATACCATATTGTAGGTATCCATTTCTCAGTTGACAGACATGTGAGTTTTTATCATCTTTCATAATTATGATTAGTGCTACCATAAAACATTTATGGGTGAGGCACATGGCAACATTATTTTCAGTCACTATGGATATTTTCATAGAAGTCAGATTTTTTTTAGTTATACCATAAACTCTATTTCACCTTTTTAGGAACTGCCACACTTTTCTATAGCTGTATCACTTTCTTTCCCTCCAGCAAGGTATGAGGATTCTAATTTCTCCACATCCTTGCTAGTACTTGTCATTTTCTCTTTTTTATTTCTTTTTGCTTTTTGTATTATGATAGTCATTCTAGAGGGTATGAGATGGCTTTTTCTTGTGGCAATCATTGACATTTCTCCTTGTCTAATGCTGACCTTCTTTTCATGTACTTATATCCACTTGTATATTTCATTTGGGAAGTTCATTCAATTTTTTAAATCTAATTTTAGCTAGGGGGATTGTTTTTATTGTTGAGTTGTAACATTTCATTATATATTCAGGACATTAGGTTCTTATAAGCAATATAGTATATATATATGTATATAGATAGATAGATAGATTCTTGTTCCATGTGCTGTTTTCTCTTTTAAAAAATATTAATACTGATCAACTTCAACTTACCTATTGTTTCTTTTATTTCATGTGCTCTTGTTACTGCTTTTAAGATACCATTGCCTAACCTAAAGTCAGTAATACTTATCCTTACTCTTTTCCTACTAAGTGTTATAGATTCCTCGTTCTTTTGTTTGGGTCAAGCATCCATTTATTTTGTGGTAGATAGTATGATTCAGAAGTCCAAATTCACTCACTGCATGCAAATATCCATGTCCCAGAATCACTATTGAAGGGTAGATTAAAATTAGCATGTGAAAAAAATTAGCATGTGTTTTTCCTCACTGAATAATGGTGCCAGCTTTGTCACAAATCAATAACTCATGGGTGTGTGGATTTAGGTATGGATTCATTTCTACTAATTCAACTGTGAGTATGATGTAAATCATACTGTTTATTTATTCATTTATTTATATTTACTTGTTTCTTTTTCCAGTTGTGGAGCTTAAACTCTGGGCCTGGGCACTGTCCCTGGGCTCTTTTTTGCTCAAGGCTAGTGCTGTACCCTAGCCACAGTGCCACTTCCCATCATACTGTTTGGAGGGCTGTGACATTTTAGTAAGCTCTGACAATTTGACATATGATTCCTCCAGCTATTTCTCTTTGTACACTTGCTTAATTTGCCTTTCCCTTGGAATGGATAAGTTGTTACACCTCATAGTTGTTTTTTGAGTGGTGACTAATTGATCCCTTGTAGCGTATCTTTTAACCTACATCTTGCACAACTGATTGTAGACTTCTTTGGTGTTTGCCATTCATTAATATTGTTTCAGCAATATGTTAAAATTTTATTTATTTATTTTTAACAGTCTTCTTGTTACATGAAGGTAATGTACAGAGCGGCTATAACTACATAAGACTGGTACAGAGTAGGTTACCTTCTGGACAATGTCACCCCTCCCTTGTTGTCTACCAGTTTTTTCCTCCCAGTAGTTTTAGTAGTACTAACAAAACAATTCATAAACTCAGATCTGGTGGCACTTTTTCCATTAGCAGTTCAGAAATCTTCACAGTACATATGGTCAATAGAAACAGCATCTGTGGTAGTGGACCCTTGAAAAATTAAAAGAGATAAATTTCATCTAAGTTCTATGGATTGGTGCATCATCTCAACCCATCTTGATGACTGAGATAGACTTCCCTGACTCAAATGGGTTGAACTTTCCTTAAGAGGAGAAGCTCAGAAAAATTTTCTCCTTATAAAATGTAATTTAAGAAGACAATTGAGACTAATCTGTATAAAGTAGTTAATTTCTACCTTATTCAGGTTTAAACTATATAAGTTAGCTTAACATCCAGTCTGAGGAAACTTTATTAACTCAGATTGTCAAGTCAGTCAGACTGGCTTTGGAAGTATTTTCTTTCTTTACTGTGTGGCTGTTTATTTGTCTGTTTGAGACAGAATTTCATTTAGTATCCTAGGATAGCTTGGAACTTGCTGTGAAATCTGGGTTGGCCTTACACATGATCTTCTGGCCCCTTCCTCTGTCTCCCCAGCTCTGAGACAGTAGCATGAGCCTGGCTTTCAATTACCTGAAGGTTAAATCAGGTCACAGTGATTTTTATTGTGAATTGCTGAATAAAAGCAAATTGCTATGCATGATGACACTGTAAGGCTAAAAATGAATATATACCTTCTGATATATGTAAAAGCTTCATGAAAAAAAAAATACTTTTTATTTCCCCAGCATTAAGACATGCTTCAAGAAGTCCTCCAAAACCTACAATTATTTGTGCCCTTAAATTATCCCGCAAAACTTATTTGGAGTCTTAATTTCAGTAAAAATTACTATATTCTTTTAAACGAAGCCCTAAACAGTGTTATTCTCCAGTAGAGAAAAGATGGCTTCCCTGAAGTGGACTTTCAGTTTATTCTAGGATCAGAGTTCTTGCTCACCTTCCTTTTTCCTACTCCCAGCCAGTTGAGAAGGTTTTTAATTTGCTTTCTCCAGAAGTATCCTTAAAAAGGAGTGACTTTTGGATGTAAATTGACATCTCAAAGACAGAACTATATGCATGTGTTAGTGTTTTGTGTTGTTTTATTTAGATGAGGTAGGAAGTACAGATTGGCTGGGGGAGGGGGGCAGGGAAAGGAGGAAGGAGCTTGATCCTCCACTGCTCCTCATCATGGTTTCCTACTGCATGGTCCAGGAGCAGAAAGCAAAACTCAAACTGGATGCCAGTGGCTCACAACTGTATTCCTAGCCAGTCTGGAGGTTAGGATCTGGATGGTTTTGGTTTGAGGCTAGTTTTGGCAGAATTATTTTTCTAGTCTCTATCTCCAAATGATCAGCACAAAAGATGGGGTGGAGGCTCAAGTGGTAGAATATCAGCTGAACAAGTAAGCTAAGAGAGTGCAGAGGCCTGAGATCAAACTCCACTACTGAGAGAAAGAGAGAGAGACAGAAGAAAGGAGGAAGGAAGGAAGGAAGGAAGGAAGGAAGGAAGGAAGGAAGGAAGGAAGGAAGGAAGGAAGGAAGGAAGGAAGGAAGGAGGGAAGGAAGGAAGAAAGGAAAGAAAGAAGGGAGAGAGAGAGTGGGAGGGAGGAAGGGAAGGGGAAGGGAGGGAGGGAGGAAGGGAGGGAGGGAAAGAAGTAAGAAAGGAACCAACCAAATCTCTAGACCTATTGCTTCTTTCATTTCTTTCCTATTCTCTCCCAGAAGAGTGGGTACTGACATGAATATTCTCTTCAATAAAACTATGATTGAGCTGTCCAAAAGGTTCAGTTTCCAAGCTAAAAATAACTTGACAAGGTCGCCACATTGTCTGCCTGCCACATTTTAAGCCATGTCCTCAAATACCCGAGAACCTGTTTCTTCTCACCCAGCTTGCCTTCTGGCTCTGATTTCTTCCTCATCCCTCTGAGTTGGTGCTTGTGGCCTGGCTATGATCTTGATTGCTTGGCAGAAGCTTTCTAAGAGCCAAGACTTGGCTCTAGTCTCTGCCACTCACACTCCCCAAATGCACAGAGGTTTGACTTTTCACATCCAGTGCTGAACTTCTAGAACACTCAGCCTGAGCAACCTGCCCAGGAGGCCATGAGCAGAACTGGTCCCATAGCCCTAGTAAGGGTTTCCCACTGTGAGAGGAACACTTCCAGGAATCATGATGTACGAGATACAAATTTATATTAAAAAAAAACTTTTCAAAAAGTACTCTAAAAGAAGACAAATTACCCACTCAAGAGCCTCACTTTTAAGACTCACAATTGGATTTTTGTTAAGTGTAATTTCTAAAATCTTGGTCATTTAAAAATAGATGTTGCAAGAAGACGTTGCACATGCTTATAATCTCAACACTTGAGAGGCCACGCCAGAAGGCTCACCAAGCTCAAGGCCAGCTTGGGCCACATAGTGAAACTGTTTCACAAACCAATCAAACAGATGAAGTCAGGTGTCTTCTCTAAAAATAAGAGCTATGTTTTTAAAGGATATTTTATGTAATTCAATGGTGAATTTTCAGAACTTCTATTTGCCTCTGATGGACTCTCAAAAGGTATTCCGACTTGACTCAGGAAACAAAGATTCCAGCAGGTAGATTGGGCAAGGAATGCTAACACTCCCCGTGGGACAAAATTCCCATCTTTCTGTGGCTATAAAAGTGTTTACCATTCTACAGCATTGAAATGGCTAGTACTGACAGTTTCAGAGACAGCACAAACGTCCTTTGAAATTACTTTTCAGTCTGCCTTTCCTGAAAACAACTCTACCTTAAAAATACATTGACATTGAAAATACTGGATTAAACATTGATTCATAAAGCTAATGAAGAAATCCTTAATATACTCTAAATATATAATAGAACTTGAAGAAACTTTTGTTCCAATAACAGTCTCTTAAATGAAGCCTGTGGGAAAAAAAAGAACAAAGTGTTTTTCTTCATATTTGGGAAGGAAAAGAGACTGATTTCAAGCTCCTAGTCTTGGGGCTTGAACTCAGAGCCTGGGCCCTGTCCTTGAGTTTTTGTGCTCAAGACTAGCACTACTGCTTGAGCCACAGTCCCCCTCTGGCTTCTTGGACATTAATTGGAGATAGTGTCCCCTGGACTTTCCTGTGTAGGTTGGCTTTGAACCACGACCTTCAGATCTCAATCTTCTGAGTAGCCTAGACTAACAGGGATGTGTCATTAGCACCAGGATGATTTTTTTTTTTTTATTCAAAGCAGGAAGAGCAAGTTTATTTGGAAGCAAAAGGAAGATAGTAAAATAGACTCTTTGTACAGTGAGGCCTCAAACTGGGAGAAGGGTCTTCAAAAGATTGATGAAAAGTTTATTGTATTGGTAAAATGGTGAGAAAATCGCAATAAATGTAGTTACCAGTGAAAGGAAAAATATAAAATATGGTTCATTTTTTGTTACAAGCACTAGTCTGCTATCATTTAGAATCTCTAGAACTAGGTGATAGCTCATAGGAATGATAGGAAATAAAATTATATAACCTGAATGTCATGAAAATCAGTTGATATGATATATACATAATCCTACCATTTTAGAAGCCAGTTTGTTGGCTTTGATAGGGAAAAGGGATTTTTTCCCCCAGAATTCTATTATTTTTAAAGTAGTTTTGTCAATTTTTGGCAGCCAAACTTTTAATAGTCGAATTTTGATTTCTCCTGTTCTATGTTTATTTTCACATTTGTCTATTAATTTTTATGCCTTCCCAAATCCTACAATTCTTGACCTAACCAACTAAAACAATATGCAAACGACTATTGTGAAGACAGAACTTCTATTAAGTAGTTATATTGTAAGATTAACTTCCCTCTGCCTCCTTTTCCTACAGAGGGAGTAATAAAAAGAATTTGCTATTCTGAGTGAAATGACTGTTGGAACTTGAGACAATCCATCTTACAGTTAAAAGAATGTCCTCAACAGTTATTGAAAATTTTCAGTAAAAATTAAGCAACCCTTTTGCTAACTTTCATGCAGCTTCCTTCTTTTCCTTATATTTCCTTCATCTTTGCAAATCATTTCCTGCCCTTTGTGTAATGGAATTGTCTCCCTTTCTTTTCCCCTGAAATGGGAAAGAGGCCTTTCATCGAGAAGCTTGAGTTGTAACAAGTGCTTGAGTTGTAACCGTTACATCATGATATTTTCCCAGTGATTAAAATGTTTTTCTGCATAGTTAATCTCTGAAACACTAATAGTATTATGAAAACCGCTAAGTAACTCTAGCACATACAATAAAATGCCTGAAACTAGATGGGATAATGTCCTAAATTATATCCCTACTAAATATTTTATCCCGTACCCTTCATTATGAGAGCTTGTTTTCTTATCATCAAGACAGCTCTGTGGCACACACAAATTGAAGAGCTGACAATGTGATTTTATTATTATTTTTTTTACAGCCTGCCTAATAAGATCAGTTTGTATCCTAAATGGCTTGCATGACCGTTTTCATATTCCAAATTCCCCACACATCCTAACTTTGAAGCCAAAGGCAAGATTTCACTTAATTTGATTCAATTACAATTAGTAAAATCTCTCAAGTTTTATGACTTTCTGTGATATAATTCTGAATGGTTGGATATTGTAGAAGTTAAGGAAATAAAACATACTCTATTTCTAAACGAAAGCACGTGGCTAGAAGCATAAGGGTATTGCTATATAAAACAGATATCTACCAAAACCCATAGCTGAAAACCTACACCTTGACATTTTGCCAGTTTTGAAATCAAGACTGACAATATGCAGGTCTTCTCGCTAATGAATGTGCAGCTGTCACATTCAGGACTTTTCTTCCTTCTAAAAGTTTTTGGAACATGGGAACTACCTTCCTACATTGTGAAATATTTTCTTGTTTCCCACTTTGGGGAAAAATAACTTCACAAGAAGTCTGAAGAGTCATGAGTGAAATAAAACAGCTTTGGAATATATAGATTTCCTTCTTGTTCTTTCTTTGTTCCCTTTTGCAATACTAAAGTCTTCTGACTTAGTGCTTACCAACTGTATGTACAGTGGCCCCAGTTTCTCAGCTAGACCAAGGTCAATCAGGCTGATTTTCTTCCTATCCACTTAATTTTGGAAAGAAGAAATTGGGTAATTTACTCAACTTCAGAGAATGCAATAGAAATGAGTTCTCATAGAAACACCCTGACTAGTTGAGAGAGAGAAATTTTATTCTTACAATAAAAACAAAACAAAACAAAACAAAACACCCATAGATTACCTGCACAATAGTAAGTCAATTGGGCTCCCATAATTATTTCCTTCTGCAATATGTCTCTATTCTTCCTCCTTCATCACATGTATCTCAAGAACTGTTAGCCATGTGCTGGTGGCTCACGCCTATAATCCTAGCCATTCAGGCCTGCACTCTGGGCCTGGGTGCTGTCCCTCAGCTCTTCAGCTCAAGGCTAACGCTCTACCACTTGAGCCACAGTGTCACTTTCAACTTTTTCTACTTATGTGGTGCTGAGGAATCGAACACAGGGCCTCATGCATGGAAGGCAAGCACTCTACCACTGAGCCAACTTCCCAGCCCCCTGTCGGACTCTTATCTTCAAT